ATTTCCCCCAGTTCTCGTTCGAATTCTACAAAACTTAGCAGACAAGTAGACCAGACTACGATATGTAATTCTGTGCATCGGTTTTTATTTTGATGAGTAGCAAGGCTCTAATCTCTATTTACTGCGGTTTTACAGTTTAAAGTCCCAACTGCTAATATTCTCTTCCTTTGTTTTACGAACCAGTAAAGCTACAGTCTCGACAGAGACTTCTGGTTATATTTACATTACCATCACTGTCTATCTGCGATTTGCATTTTGAGTCTTGTGCGTAAGTACAAGTGAATGAATTGCAGGTTAGCCTTGTTCATTATGTCTTTCAATGTGTTTTTTTTGTCCTATAAAGGTTTTAGCTGGAAATCTGTCATCTTGACTCAACTTCCATGTTCGTCAGCTCTTCATGCTGATGTTCTCCATTAAGGTCAGACGAGACGTTCCTCAAAAATTGTTTTGTATATCTTGACAATGCATATTTAGATGAGTGCTCACATACGTATTTGTGAATTGGCACTTTCTCTGAAAAACCCAGCGGATGTATTTATCCTATTGGGCAGTTCTAGTTTTTTTGGCAGAAAACAGTGTACAATTTACCTTTAGTACTAATTGTTTTTATTTTGTAATTTTTTGCTCAGCCTTATTGATCTTTTCTTCTGATTCTTTCATTTGCTCTAGAACATCTCTTTCAAAAACTCCATTTTCATCTTTCACTGAAATGATGAAATAAATACTTTTTATGCACCTGGAGCGATAGATCCGAGGCGTATATTGATTTTGTCCTGTCTGTCTGTCTGTTTGTTTGTTTGTTTGTCCCCAAACTTTAACCTTCGCCATAACTTTTGAACCATGAAAGGTAGAAACTTTATATTTGGTATGCATACTTCACTAACTAGGTGCTTTCAAATGACACCAATATTAATGACCTTGTGACGTTGAATGTGACCTATATGCTAAAAATAGCTTTTTTGTCTGCAAACGATAACCTTCGCCATAACTTTTGAACCATAAAAGATAGAGACTTCATATTTACTATGCAAACTACACTAATAAAGTTCTTTCAAATGACACCAAGGTCAATGACCTGGTGACCTTGACTGTGACCTAGATGCTAAAAATAGCCTTTTAGTACTTTTCACCCTAACTTTTGTACCACAATAGACAAAGACTTCATATTTTGTGTGCATACTACACTAATCAAGGTCTTTCAAATGACACCAAGGTCAATGACCATGTGACCTTGAATGTTACCCTTGGTAGTATACTAGAAATAGTTTTTTTTTCGATTTTTGTTGCCGCCGGGCGCATAGTGTTTCACAAACACATCTTGTTTATTCACGTGTTTTTGTATGTTTTATACAACACTATAATTATACTTAACATTTTCAATGTATACTGGATACGTTTATATTTTAATTTAACGGATGCTTCATTCGATTCTTTATCTATCTTCATCAATATTGTGTAATAAGTAAATGTGGTATTTTATGTTCTTTTAAGCTACATACATGATTTCTTTATATCTTACATTAATTTATATATTTTTGATATGTTACTGAGACATATTTAGTAACAATACAGTGACTCGTGCGTGCATAACAAAATGGATACACTAAAGAAAATCTTCCTAATATTTAGAATTGGAAAAGTAATATAAAATGTATCAATTAAATTAATCTAAGAAATATATGAACTGAAAGATTATTCATCAAAATTAATATTTGTCTGGGATTTATGTCTGGTACACATTTCCATTTCGGCTTATGTCAGTGTAAGGAAGCGATTTCTTACAGTTACACATTTTACTTACGCACTGTAGATCCAGTCTAAATTCATGAAATTGATATGATGTTGAAAACTCAAAAATATCTTAAAGAATGCACATATTTTATTGTACCCCTAAATTTCATTTTATTCAGAGAATTTTAAGTGCGTTTTTTTAAACCATTTAGTTGCGCGAACAATAATTGATGTAACGTCGGACATGGGAATTTCGCCGTAAATGACCAATACTGGGTAACACCACATCATAGCTAAAATAATTTTGAATTATTACAAGGATAAGGCGGGAATTTTAATTTAAAAAATCAAAATTGCGGAAATAACAGGGGCTAAAAAATGTAAATAACGCGCGTTACTCAATTTGTTTGCACACACCATTGCAGTTATGAAACTGCATCTTTCAAAAAATGATAATCCAATGCTTAAATGGCTGCACATTGGAATTTACCCCATCTTTGTGGATGAGGTAACTATTTCTGAACAAACTTAAACTTGTTCATTTAATATTGATTTTATTTTGTCTTTCTGGCTATTCTTTGAATACTTTTTACATTAATTTGTTCTTCGTGTTCAAATTTAAATTACGCCAAAATATACTCCCCGTCAATTGAAACGCAACACCCTATTTTTAAGGTGAAAATTATATACAGGTTATAACTATGTACCAAAAAAAAAATTAGGACATCTTTTACTTTTCCAAATCTGTTATTTAACGGTTGAATTAATTTCTTCCCATTACCGGAAGTTGCTTTTTAGCCATCCTAACAGAATTCAAAATTTTGCATTTTTAATAAAATTTTTATAATATTTTGGGTTTTCAAAGTTTTGAAGCTGTTAACCATAAGTATTGTACTATAAGGCCGAGAAAAAATCCTTCTTTCTATACCGACGCAATTGTGATGTGATGCCTATATTTCCTCAAAATGACTGAAATCAAGAAGGGGGGATGTTTTAAGAGTAATGTGTTACCTTCTAAAGTTTAACGATAGCATTAAAAATGAATATATATCTTTAAAAATAATTTTACAAAACATAAATACTCAATTTAAACATTAAATGTTTTTTTAATCTTGGAAAAAAACCAAATACCAGGTAAATCTTAAAACACCCCCCCTTCCGACCATTAAATCAAAAAATGCTAATCCGCCATATACAACAAATGCAGCCAGATTTCTACCAAACATTAGGTTTATAGACATCTTAATCTGAGCGAAATTAGTATTTTTGAGCATTTTGGAAAGAATGTTTTTCCGATACTGCGGTCGAATTTTCTCTAATTTGGCGTAGTGTAGCAACTTTCGGACTTCCGGTCAAGAAACTTTCATTTATGCTGTTGAAACACATGAGCCTGATGAGTAGTTATATAGTGTTTATTTGCATCTGCACCTTTTTTTTCTTTATTTTGAGAATTTTTAGCACAAGCAATGAAAATCAATCAATTTGAGGAAATATAGGCATCACTTCCGGTAAAAAAAAATTGATTTTTTTCCCTGGCGTTTTAGTACAATACATATGATTAACAGCTATAAAACCTCGAAAACCCAAAATATTGTTTAAATTTTTATTCAAAATGCAAAATTTTGATTTCTGTTAAGAGGGCTAGAAAGCAACTTCCGGTAGTGGAAAAAAAATCATTCAACCGTTAAATCATTGATTTGGCAAAGTTAAAGTTGTCCTAACTTTTTGGTACATAGTTATAACTCGAATATAATTTTCAACCTAAAAATAGGGGTGTTGCGTTTCCATTGACGGTGAGTATATATCAAAATTCTACTACCAGGACCTTGCCTTCTCATCGTACAGTGAGCCTTTACTTCATTAAAGACCTATCTACGCTCTTGAATTAAGTTATGAATTTTTTTTAAATTTACAATATCGGTTTAAAAAGTGCGTTTACCTAAATGCCTTCAAAATGGATTGTTCCATGGCATGCTGGTTTTCTTTTTTCTGTTGGCGCGGGTCTCTTGTCTTTTGGCGTGGATCTCTCGTCTTTTGTTGAACTGGCACAGAGCGCCACGGCGAGGTTTGAACTGGCATAGAAGTTTCGTCCTTGTTTTTTCTGAATAAAAAATGTGATTCAATATTTTTGCTGTTTTAGAAGACTTAAGTTACTGACATTGGGAAATATGTGGAACTTTTAATTTTTTGATAACAATGAATTTAAGTTTAGCGATAACGTTATATAACAAAATTAAAAAAAATATCTCTGACGAGTTATTTGAATAGAACTAAGCATAAATAGCAAAGATGAGAATTTCTATATAATTTACCTGAGCAGAGTTGTCAAGATCGAGTCTTGAGTTTCGCTCAGTCTTTTTTTTTTTGGTTCTGCCTTCAGACTGGACTTGCGTCTTAGGGGTTGTTAAGCCTTTGTCGATCTGAGTTGAAATAGTGGTCTGTGTAGAAGGGGCAGAAGAGGATGCCATGGTTTGGATCTGAACAGGTGTACATGTGGTGGTATGACTTGGGATAATATTTTCCTGTTTAATCTGCACGGAGTCCTTCATGAAAAATATGCCTACGTGCAAGTCTGTGTGATTCCCTCACCAATAATTCACACTAAACTGAAAAACATTCCTTATATTTACATGTTACATGTTTGGAAGCAACTAAAATATGCTTAATATTTGAAATTCTCGCTGCACTATATCGTTGCACTTTAACTAACGTCGCTACAGCCTCATTGTGACGTCATGTTAACGCACGTTTCTCTGTGTATATTTCTACGCGTGAGTATACACGAAAATGATTTTCAAATTAATTTCAAAGTAAGCTTACTAGAAAAACACAGCGAATGTAAATATTTTAACATGAAGTTCTTGATATACCTCTGGAATGTAAATGTCAAGTGCATAATTCACACTTCTCCCACAGCAGTGTGCAGTTTTCGTTAACTTGTTGGTAAGTAAATCAATCTACAAAATTGAGGAAAGAGATTCATGAAATAAACTTACAGTGTGAAATACTCACCAGAAAATAGTTGTTGAGGTAATTTATTTTTTTTTTTATATTTATAACATTTGTTTTTAAATTAATTATGCTAATGAATAAAACGTTTAAATTAACCATAAAACAAATTTATATAAATATTTTTCACAAAGGTTAAATCCTCTCTTCAATGGTTATAGGAAAAATAAGTCGGCAGAATGTATCATTTAATTCCTACATTTTTTTGTGATACCAAAGACCGAAGGAATAAAACTTTACCATATTTTCTGATAAGGCCATGATACTTTTATTTTTCTCTATAAGCCATTGTTTTCTTCCTGAGTTTTTGCCCTTGGTTATCTCCATTCTAAATGATGGCTTTTCCCCACATTCTATTGATTTGATAAGTTTCTACCAAAGAAATAAAATTGAAAAAGTTAATGAATTAGGACATTGGTGAGAACAATTGTACTAAGCATTGTTCAATGCCCAAAGCCAAGCTTTAAACAGTTACTGACCTGTATGTCAATTTTCTTCAGGACTTTATTAACGCACTCATCACTCTGATAAAATGCTTGACTGAAATGGATAGATAAATATAAAGACTGTCTGCATGCTACAATTACTGCAGCAAATGATCAATTTATTTATTGTTTGAGGAGTGTCTAAATACATGTAAAAAGAAATGAAATAAAAGACACTTAATAATTACTCTTTAAGCTTGTATGGCATTGGAATGTGGCATCCACAGTATGCAGGCTCATCTTCTATTTCAATACAATGCCTATGGTAATTTTGGCCACAAAATCTGAAAGATATTTTTTCCCCAAAATCTCCCTGGCACACCCCAAATGCAATAGCTCCACATTTCTCATAAAATCTAGGTCCTCTACCAACAAAAAACCTTCAACCAATGGCAAATATGACATGCTGGAAGCTCCTTTCAGTGTTATCAAAAGTAATCGGAAATGACAAGGCCAGTCACGTCTTTTCTCACAGGAATATATTTCTGATCCACCTTTGGAGTATACAATAATGGTGTTCTGCGTGAAAGAAGCAATGCTTTTCAAATGCATCTCCCCTGAAAGATAGGTAAATATAAATAACAAAGAATTCTATAGTCCAAACTATATACATTGTAAATACTTCATTGTTCGGTGTTTTTTGGCAATGTTGGCTCTTCAACTAGTACATGCAGTACCGGTAATTTAAAACATTGTTAGAATTTGTAATTTTGTCAGACATTGTGGAAAGAAAGAGATCCGAAAAAGGAAGATAAATAGATAGATTCTAGTACATGTATATATTTATATATTTTTTAAGTAAAAAGTTTAATGAATTAAAGTAAATTCTTACATAAATCTTTAGTATCCCTTGTGGATGTTGATTTCATTGCCTTCTATATTAGATTTTTTTTATCCTTGTGAAAAATATAAGACATATATCAGAACAGAAACTTCCCTACATGTAAACTATGTATCAAGAAAAAATGGTACATATACATGTACATTGTATTGTATTTTCATAACATTTTTTAAAGAAAGGACGTAGTGATCTCTAGACAAAAGAGTTTACTTGTTGAATTAAATTAAACAATACACAAAAAAAATCTGTTAGTGAAAAAAAAATTAACAACATTAACATTCCAAATTGGTTCAAAGAAACAAAGTAGCAAAAGTATTTTTCTTGTTAAAAAATCATGAGTTTTGTTGAAATGACTGCTATAAATACGCACTGGACAATTTCTGATTTCATAGCAAACAACAGCTATGACAAAAGTCAAAAAATCCTATTTCGTGTGGAGGGGGGGATGTAGTAGATAAACTTTTTCTCAGCGTCAGTTACTTTCAGTACCTATTGTATTACTACATGTTCGGTAAATTACTATAAATCTATAAGTTGAGGGAGGGGGGGGGCAACCAGGCATTCAATTAACATTTTCTATAGTATAAGTAAAGTGGGCACAAAAAATTGCTGTTGCTACTCCCCTGTTTAATGTGTGTTGGGGGTTGCAAAATTTAAAAAAAAATCTGCGTTCTACAGAGGTGTTCAACACGTGAAACAGCGGATCTCCATTTTTCCCATGTTCAATCTCTTCCGTATAAATCCAGAACAGGTGTCAGGTCCCAGCCAATACTGATGTGTTACACGTGTCAAAATAAACCGATTTTTTTAACATGCCAAAACTGACAAAACAAAAGATCGCTAATCGGTGACAAAATTTCACATTTGTGCTTTGAGACTACGATCAGTTATAAATGGCAGATAATTTTAGAATAAGTGAACAAACCTTACATAAGTATTTCCTACACCTAGACATTTTCTAAATTGAATTTCAATCAGAAAAAACACGCATATGGTCCACGTATTGCAGTCCTTTTTTAAAGGACAGCAACTTGTTGATTTCATATAAAGACATCTTATAAGGCCATGAAAATTAATTTCTAGGTTCTCAGGACCTCCCTCATTTCTTCCTCGGGTGCCTCATTGAACCTCTTTATTGCTAAATCAATACTTAAAAACAAAAAAAATCACCTCCCTCATCATTTTTTGAGATTTTGTACAATGTAAAATGCTTTTTCATCATTTTTGGGGGCAATAAAATGGTAAATATATAAAAAGGCTCCCTCCCTCACCATACATCTAAAAAAAAAAAAGAGAAGAAAACCTGAGAACCAAAAAATTAATTTTGCGAGGCCTAAACTGTACATATCTATAAAATATCTGTACATTGAGTGTTTTTATCGGGGGCGGAAATCAGGCCGCCCCATGTATATTACATTTACCTTTTCTTTGAGTCTTATATTAAGTTGCACATAGCCTTAAAGTTAAATTTATCTTAGATGGAACTAGTAAAATAAATTACTAGTACCGTAAAGGGTTGCTTTGCATACCTTGATACATCAACAGCTGATTAGCAAGTCTCACTCTAGTATTTCTCAGTTCTTCACTTGTAATGTTTGAAATACTGTCTTTTGTAAAATATCGTTCACAAAACTAAGGATAAAAAAAATTCAATATTTTTCTTTAAAAGGCAGAATATCATGCAAGCTAATTATAACAAAAAATCTTATTTTGGCACTATTACATATGGTCTTTCACAATACTAGAATTTCTTTTTTTTTTAACTGCATGAATAATTCAATTAAACAAAAAGAATGAATTTAGAGTAATCCATAAAATCAATTATTAATATATGTAATATATAAATGTTATATTATACATTTATTGACTGAGTTCGAGGGCAACATGCGTTTTGTCGGACCCAAGAACCAAACTGTCTGCCTGAGGCCGTTAGGCCGAAGGCAGACAGTTTGGTCCGAGGGTTCGACAAAACGGCGTATTTTGCCCGAGAACTCTGTCAATAAATGTTTTGTTATACCTTTCATTTTATTTTATTTTTTTAATATATATTTAATTGTATTTTGTACTTAATTCCGTGATGTAACATCAGATCTATCACTGTTTAATACCAGCGAATGAAAATGAGATGAAGCCCCGCCCACTCTGTGACGTAAGCGGTCCAACATCTCTCCGAGCGGTCCAACATCTCACTCAGCGGTCCAACATCGATTTTTTTATGCCCGCTCAGCAAAACATTAAAAATGTTAGACTTTTTTGTATAGAATTGTATAGGAACAAATTTCTAAAGGTATAACAATAATTTCTGGTCTCTAGAAATACACAAATACAATATATGAATCTAAATTGAAAGTGTGCGTTTTGAAATCAAGTATTTTCCATTGAAAAATAAGAATTCTAATTAATTATAACTAAGGCATTCTTTCCTACCAGAATTATGTATACACCACAATTTTGCCCATCTTGCTGTTTTGTATGAGGAACAGTTTTAAGAGTCCATTTCTCCTCAGACTTGCCTGCCTCTAGTCCAAGGCTTATTCTTCTGTTGAAGAAATGACTGAAATTGAAAGATATTAAACTTTTCACGTGCACTTTCACTGGATGAAAAATACAGTTTCCGCATTACTGAAACTCTACTGAAACTCTGCGGAAACTTAAGGTTACTAATAGTTTCTGCAAAGTTTCAGTGCGGAAACTTCAAGTTTCATCAAGTTTCCGCAGTGCGGAAACCAAAGGTGTCCACGAATCCAAATAGTTTCCGCAACTGAAACTTGCTGAAACTTGAGGTATACGCAAGGTTTCAGTATGCGTATACGGTTGAAATACATATGGTTTACTAATGGTTTCCGCAACAGAAACTTGCTGGAACTTGAGGTATACGCAAGGTTTCAGTACGCGTATACAGTTGAAATACATATGGTTTACCAATGGTTTCCGCAACAGAAACTTGCTGAAACTTGGGGTATACGTAAGGTTTCAGTATGCGTATACAATATTGATATACATAGGGTATACAATAGGTTTCCGCAACGGAAACTGTAGTTTTCAACCAAAAGTCATTTTCCCCCTGAATTCTCATATTGGAAAAAACAACAACACACTATCACTAGTTACCAAAGAATATTTAATGTTATTATCAACATTTACATACATCGGTTGAACATTTTTCTCTTGCATCATAAACATTTTTACAGCTAAGTCCAAGCCCTCAAGTCACGACAGGGGGACAGAGAAAATGTCCGCATTTAATGATGTCTCATATATCAGAGATATAATCTTGCGAGAGGAACTTAGAACTGCATTACTGCAATCAATCAATTAAACCTGAATTCGGTTTATGCACGTCTAGTATTATTAAGGAAATGTAAAATTACTTGGTATAATAAATGCACAAGTTCACATCATAAGTAGCCAATAAGCACCAAGGTGGATTCCTTTGTTAAAAATTCAGTTTGTAGTCCATCATCAACCTACAGAAAAGTCCTTGAGTGGTTCTCATTCTTTGATGACCCACTTACACTTATCATGCTTATGCTAGTGGTGGCTGCATGTTTTTGGAACTGTGCAACACATCACTGTAGTCTACATGTATGACCTGTTCCAGTTTCAGTTGACTTTAAAAATATCAATGCTTGAGTATAGAGAGACTTGTTTTCATCATTGGAGAAATGATATCATGTTCAAGTTGGATTGATCTGCTCATCAGGTACTTCAACCTATTGAAAATATACATAAATATAGTTTAACAAAATCCCAATCTAAATAAAACAACATGTTAGATCCTCTCGCATACTCACTTCACAACATCTACCAACATCCCATAGAAGGTCACGTCAGATGTCAAATACGGAACAACTCTAGACTTATTCGTTCCAATTTATGAAATACAATAATTTTGCAGTTGACTATTTGATTGGTTAATAGAATTTGACCTCTGACGTGACACTCTACAGGATGTTGTTAGATTTAGGCAGTATCTAACATTTAATATTAAATGGATGGACAAAGTCCCTAATGCTGTTCTAGTACAAGCTTTTGTTTGATTAATTTCACATTTTAAGCATATTTTTTTTATAAGCATGATTTAAAATGAAATCTAAAAATTTATCAAGTGTAAAATATCATTAGTGTATGATGCCTCTTTTAAACACTTGACAAGGGATAATGAAATAAACAAACTTGATTTATTTAAACATGTTAAATGTACCTGAATATGTATGTATAGATTTGTTCCTGATTTTCAGAATAAATTAAGGAATTTTCTTTCATTCTACTTGTTCATCAAAATATTTTTTTTTATTTGAATAACAACTAGAGGCCCATAGACCTAATAGGTATCGTGTAACAACTTTCACTCAATTGAATTTGGTTCGTATTTTAAACAAAAAGCCATGAAATTCCAAATTTTGAAAGACGCACCATTGTTTATCATAATTATACGCTTAACATGCTTACTCTGGTTACTCAGAAACCAAAGGTGGATCAGAGTAATAAAGATAAAATGCTTTTCCATTTTAAAACCACAGTTGTGTACCCCACCCCACAGGAACCACTAACCCTGGGGCCACAGATTTCAAAATTTTCTAAATGTTATCTTAAGTTTTATTTCATCATAAATGGTTGATTAATTCCAAAGAGCTATATGGACCAACCCTAGTACTAGAACCCCTGACCTTGGGGCTATGAATTTCATAATTATGGTAGATGACTCAGTGCTCATTTCAATCATGCCAACAGTTTGACTGCTTGATGTCCAGGAGTAAAAAAGAAGGGGGTATCATAAAATTTGCAGATTTTGTTCCCCTTCAACCGTAGATGCTTTGTATCAAAATTGGTTGAAATTGGTTGAGCGGTTGCAAGGAAGAAGCTGAAAATGTTCAAATGTCAACACACAACAGACAAAAACAGATAGTAATAGGTCACCTGAATTTATTAAGGTGACCTAAAAAATGCCCTGCTTATAAATACTTATATTAAATAAATCAGAGAATTTTAGTAGTAAGCTCGCAAAATGAGACTTTCTAAGAAAATGTTAACATCTGTTAATTTGATGGAAATGCCGAACATATAAAGATATTATATAAAGCTTAAAAAGTAGAGGAAAGCAGCTTACACCCCCCTCCCCCACAACACACACTGACAACCACTGACTATTATAAATAGAGAGCTTTAAATTATACAGTGAGTTTAAGAAAATAAAAACATAAACTTTGTGCTTTAGTCCTTAATTTCCTAAAATAGAGTTACATAAGTTCTTACTACTAAAACATACTTTTTAACAGAAGTGTTCTTCATCCTCTCTTAGTTTTCAGATGATTTGTTCCATGGATATCTGAAATTAAAATAGATCGAGTTAGTACAGTACCGTACAGTAATAAATTTTTTGTTTTTAGCATGAGCTCAGAAAAGTCCCTAAAACTACTTGCATGCCCATTTCCTTGCATTTGACATGCAGTGAAAATTCTATTGCACATGACAAAGAAAAAAAATGATTGGAAGTTGTATCATTTTAAAATGGACACAGTCACACTCTGGTCTAATTCTAAGTGGCAGTCCTATCAGGCTATCACAATCTCAATTTACAAGATTTTGAAAAGCAATTATATCTGAGAGTGAGAAAAATTAAATAAGTTATAATTTTCCATAAAAGCAAGACTACATCTAAATTATATTTGTTTAAGATATGTAGGCCTTCTCCGATTCAAAATTATAATTCATTTGATAATTAATTTTATTAAATATTCTATTTTATATCAAGGGAAGATCATTTGTATAATAACACAGAACTAGGACTCTTCAGTGGCCATTGTTGAAAACTGATTTAATTAGTGATAGAAATATGGCAAATGGTAAACAGCTATAAACCTTACAGAGAGATTACAAAAATCTTATTTGTCAGTCATTTTATCAAGTCAATAAAATTTAGAGATCATAGAAGTATTATGTCAAATTTTCATAATGGGTCACACTGTCAGTTGTTAGCGCGACACGCCTAGAGTTGGGGAGTAAGAGCTGATTCCTACATCAAGGGTCTGAATCCAATGTAGTACATAGGGACTGGTCCCTCGGATGAGACTGTGTTGGTGACTTGTCCACATTAACAAAAAGTTCTCTTAAGGGTAACAAATAAATACAAGTATATGACTGTATAATGAATCAATATATGTAACTTGAGAAATTGAAAATGTCCATTTGCCCATTTCATCAAGCTCCAGTCTATCATTATAATACATACTTCAGGTAAATACTGTTCTGTTCATATCAAAAGAATCATTTTTATGGTTGTGATTTCTGATGTATTTAGAAACTGCACCACATTTAATACACAAGGTACAATAAAAACATGGTATTTCTAATGAACAATTACACCATGCACACTACCGGTTAATCAAGTTTTAGGTTGCTAAAATAGTGTTAATTGTTTCATATAGATCAAAACATGCACATGTGTCAGCATGATGTTTATGTATCTTTGTGTATAACTATTTTGTTCACGTACGACAATGTTTCAAACTCATAATGTATGGTATGAAACTTAATAAAATACTTCAATTTGAATAATGTCAGGCATTCTGAAAATTATTAAGTCACTTTCATATCACAAAATCTGCAAATTCTCAGGAATTTTACTTTCATGACTATACAACATGTACAAATTGGCATTTCACAGTGATACAATACTACACAATGGCATTCTCCCAACATGATGCCCTCTAACATGTCTAATATTTACGATTCTAGACTGCATGTATGTTAAAAATATATATTCTACCCCTTCCTCGGCTGTACAGCACAGTCTTCCATCAATAATAAAAACAATTCAGCAAAAAATAAATGTAGGATTCAAGAAACTACTCCTGCGAATAACAATGAACAGTTCTAGCCGGTACGTCGATTTACCCAAATGGACCCAAATGGAACCCAAATGGACCCAAATGGAATCAAATGGACCCAAATGGAAATCAAATGGACCCAAATGGAAATCAAATGGACCCAAATGGAATTTTTAATATGTTTTACTGCGGTTTTATCAACTTTTACTTGTAAATTAATTACTCTTTTGATTATTTTAAGTATTTTATGTGTTTATGTATGTTTTTTTGAAAATTAATTAAATACTTCATACATTATATTATTATTATGTGTCAAAGTTCGTTTATTTTTTTACGAATAAATATATTTGCATGTGATTATATTATTTTTTAAGGGGGGATATATCATCGATTTCAATTATAAATGGGTAATTGTCCAATAGGATCGATGAATTTGTACTATAAATTGGAGTACTTAGCAATAACCAATGCGATTTATTTATATCTTTGAGAAGATAATTATGAGACATTTACATTTTAAAAACACGCGTTTTGGGGAAAATTCTCCCTACCTGAATTTTTCTTCAAGGAGAATTTGGATTCTATGTACGGTAAGTCTTTTTTCTACATTAAATGATTTTTCTATATAAGATATTAAAAAAGCATTAATTTAATGAAGTAAATCAATACATATTTCCTTTTATATTAGATAAGAAATAATTTAATATTTTACTTTACTCCGGCT